TGACTTCTGCAAGAGATGTGGTGCTGCATGTTGTTTAGGACACAGTCTCTGTGTTGCCAGTTAAGTAGCTATATGACTTTGTGTAAATTATTTCTCCGATATATAAGGCACTTGTGAGATTTAAAAGACATAATCTATGTAAAAAGGATTATTCCAGTGCCCAACGGATATTAAGCACTTCACATGTGTAAGCTACTGCCATCATCATCAACGTCATCACGATGCCATCAGCAGAATTATCATTAAAAAGTAGAAAAACCACTCTCCTATTTATCCTAACCTATACATTATAATATACTCTGTAATTCCCACCTACATCTGATTAATTATGATTCCTGTAAATTTCATGATGCTAAGGACTTTGTCTAATTCACCACTATATCCCTTGGGCCTAAACCAGTGCCTAGTACATAGAGCTCCAAATATTTTTGGTTTTGGATAAATAAATGCATACATTTTTATATATGCCAATGTGAATTATTTTTCATGACTGTTAATTTTACGAGGACCTTATCCGTTCATTTTATTTTTTTCTTTTCATTTTTTTAAAACAATTTTATTTATTTATTTGACAGAGAGAGACAAGAAGAGAGGGAACATAAGCAGGGGGAGGAGCAGAGGGAAAAGCAGGCTTCCCACTGAGCAGGGAGCCCTACACGGGGCTCGATCCCAGGACCCTGGGACCATGACCGAGCTGAAGGCAGATGCTTAACTTCTGAGCCACCCAGGTGCCCCTCCTTTCATTTTAAGTGTAATTTTTGCACAATAACTTCGAGGTCATTTTCTAAAATTTATAGTCCACCTATTTTAACCATTTGTGCCTTTTTATGTTCAATGAAATTGCTCTTTAAGTACTCTTTAGTATCAGGTTGATAAAAAAGGAGGTCATCATTTAATGTGTGTGCAAACCGAAAGAAAAAGGAAGAAATGGCATCAGTATGTCTCTACATTCTCCTAGTGCCAGTGGATGGTTTTCAATGGTCTGTGGATTCATCACCTCAGACTGAAGGTAACCTAAGTGGAAAAGTTGCTGACGATGCCCTGGTCTTCCCTGGTTAGGACAGCAGACATACAGATTAAGGTATCAGGGTTTCTTCTTCTTTTTTTTTTTTTAATCTTTTTATTTGACAGAGAGAGAGAGAGAGAGAGAGAGATCACAAGTAGGCAGGTGGGGTGGGGGTGAGGGGAATAGGCTACCCGCCGAGCAGAGAACCCAATGTGTGACTGGAGCCCAGGACCCTGAGATCATGACCTGAGCCGAAGGCAGAGGCTTAACCCACTGAGCCACCCAGGTGCCCCATCAGGGTTTATTTTAACGGAGAGATCCCACAGCACTTTCCTCTGTGACCGTTCTATGAAATCAAAGATATCTTCTGACTGGTCCCTACTCTCCTAGACTGTAATACTAGAAATAGGAACTTATTTTTCATTTGTTGTCATCCTTCTAAGACTCAATTAGAGGGGAAAAGGGTAGACTATAACTATTAGTGACGTAGTTTTTCTGTCTAACTCAGGGGGATGAGCTGAATAGATCTAAATGTACTATTAATCGGATCATGTTGACGATACAGACTCATTTCTGATTCATAAAGATGTTAATACCAAAACATACTTAGTCTCCAAAGCCCAACATAGTAATATAAAACTTCCTCTATTTTTAATTTTTAAAGTAATTTTACTTTTTAAACTGGATAATACACTTACAGGTTATACAAATCAAAACTTTATAAAAAGAATATTCCTTGAGAACTCTCAATCTCATCCTTTCCTACGTAGTTGTACCAACTTTGACCCTAATAGGTAGCCATTATTGGTTTCCTGTATAACCTTCCAATATTCCTTGAAACAGCAGATAAAAGCAGATAAAAATAGGTACACGAAAAAGTGCTCAACATCACTAATCATCAAGGAAATACAAATCAAAACCATAATGAGGGGGCGCCTGGGTGGCTCAGTGGGTTAAAGCCTCTGCCTTTGGCTTGGGTCATGATCCCAGGGTGCTGGGATCGAGCCCTGCATCGGGCTCTCTGCTCAGCGGGGAGCCTGCTTCCTCCTCTCTCTCTCTCCCTGCCTCTCTGCCTACTTGTAGATCTCTGTTAAATAAATAAATAAAATCTTTAAAAAAAAAAAAAAAACATAATGAGATATCACTTCCTACCTGTCCAAATGGCTTTTATTAAAAAGATAAGAAATAATCAGTGTTGGCAAGGATGTGGAGAAAAGGGAACAACTGCACACTGTTGATGGGAATGCCAACTGGTGCAGCCACTCTGGAAAACTATATGGAGTTTCCTCAAAAAAACTACTACTAGAACTACTCTAAGATCCAACAATTCCACTTCTGGCTATATATCTGAAGAAAATGAAAACATTAATTTGAAAAGACTTATGCACCCCCATGTTCACTGCAACATTATTTATAACAACCAAGATATGGAAACAACCTAAATGCCCAATGATGGATGAAGGATAAAGAATATATTGTAATTAGATGGAATATCTATACAAACTGGAATATTATTCAGCCATAACGAAAGAAGGAAATCTTGGCCATTTGCAACATGGATGGATCTTGAGGGCAAGTGAACTAAGTCAGACAGAGAAAGACAAACACTGTATATAATCTTTTTTTTTGTGGAATCTAAAAACAACAATAACAACAACATCCCAAATAAACCAAGCTTATACACTTGGGTATAAGGGTAGTTGTCAGCAGTGGGGGTTGGGAGGGTTGAAATGGGTGAAGGTGGTCGAAAGGCACAAGGAATCTGACTATTAAATATACGGGAAATCAAGGAAATACAAATTTAGAAAATAATGAGATACTAGTTTGCATCCAACATGTAAAATAAACTCTTAAAATACCAAGTACGAGGGAGCTCGTAATGTAGATTCTGGCTGGAAATAGGAAAGTCAATTTTGCTAATTTAATGAGTTCTATGAACCTGAGTCTCAATACACAAAGGATAGCAACTATTTAATCAGATGCCAAATGATTAACACAACTATATACTTGGAAGAAATTGAATACATGATTTAAATTCTACTTAACAAATTCCCATTTACTAAAGGTTACTTCTATAATACACCCAAATATATAGTTACCATATTTTTCATTTTCTTCCTAATGTAAGCTAATAAGTTTTTAGCAGCTGAACGCTTGAAAATCAAGAGGATTTTATTATACTTCTGCATATTTTCCAAATTACTATGATGAAAACAGTAAGAAAATAAGAACAGAATTAGATTTAGTAGAAACATCTACAAGATTGGGAATTTATTAAGGAAAAAGCAGAAGTGGGCTAAGATGTCATCTGGCTGAAAGTACATGAAAAGCAGAGGCTAGGACTTGGGAGGTGTACATGAACGGATAGCAGAATGTGGCTAATAGAAACTCAGGGCACAGCCTTCGAAGCCATAACTCTGAGGAAGTTAGAGGATAAACATGTTGACTTGGCCCTCCATGAAGAAAGTAGGTCATCTGATCTGCCTTAGCAAGAACGAGATGCTTCCTTCCTCCTGCAACACAAGAAAACTCCATGACTTGAGAGACACGAAACAGTGCGTTAAAGTCAAAACTTCACAGGCCCCAAAGTATTAAAATCTCAGGCCACCTTAAATATGAAATGACTGATAGTAGCAACACATCCCAATACAAACTGTTCTATGGCAGTTGGTGAAATTATGCCTTTACTTTTCTTAAATCTCACCTTGGAGTAGAGTGTGCTTTGGGCTAAAATTATCCCTGGGCTCTCAGTAATCTCAATTGACGTCAACACTGAAAATGGCAGGAAACTGAAGGAAACAGTCTCTGCTCTTGGTTTGCTGTAACCTGCTTGGGGCATCCTGTTCCCTCTCAGAGAGGGAAGGGAAAGCAATTTCAGAGTGAGGAGGCTGGTATGCTTTAGGAAGCTGCTAGAAGTCACTGGCACATCTCTGGCTTGATAAGTTACCCTTTTGGGTCTAAATAGGAGAAAAGAACCTAATCAAGCCTGGGTTTCTGGTGTCACATTTAAAATTGCGGGGCGCATTAGTGACTAAGCCCATTTGAACTGGAACTTGCCTGGAAGGGTTTTCTCATCTTTCTTTTGGCTCAAACATTGAACAACTGACATTCAAAAGTCAGAGGGAAACAGGGAAAAATGCTTCAAGAGAAGAAGAAAGGTCGCTTTCTTTGAGGTCGCTGCTGCAGGTGCCTTCATAAAGAACTCCTCGAGTGGGAGTGGGCCCTGTACCTTGGTTGCGGCAGCTACCATTCTGCCATGAAATGTTAAGTCATGGACTGGAGAAGGTATTGGCAACACCTATCACTGACAATGGCCAAAATATATGAAGAATGCTTACAAATTAATGAGGGGAGAATAAAATAAGCTGATTTTAGAAATGGGCAAAAGATTAACTGGTCCCTTTTGAGGAGAAGGACCCTGGAAAGGTGGTGTGGTTTGCCTGGGCTTGCTGGAAGACACTGGTAAGAGTAGGTCGGAACCCAGTGTCTCTGCCAATGCCACAGGGCCAGAGGGTCACCGTGCCAACACCTGCATCCTGTGGGAGATGAAGCTCCCTGAGGATGGACATATTGGGGCTGACCTCCTGGGGGCTTCTCGCAGGCCCCACACGTGGCCCTTCCCCACAGCACCACTGCAGCAACACTTTGACCAAGATCTGTATGGTGACTGGTAATGCGGGTTTCGAGTGCTAATGTGGTTCCTGACTCAGCTACTCCGTCAATGTGAGGAATTCTACTCCCTTGGTTCCCTCATAGTTAAGATTAGATCAGAAACATTCCAGAAGTCAGAAATCAGCATCGTAAACCAACTGAGATTTGAAGGAGAGAGCTAGATTGGAGAACTGATCTATCAAATCCCCTAATCCTTTGATATGTGTCCCAAACACATGAACGGTAATGGGAAAAAATATAAAAGTAAATGCAAAACAAACAAACAAAAAACACCAACCCCCCACCCCAGCAACAACCTGCTTTTAAAAATTGCCAACACTCATTTTCCAGAGATAAAACTTTATTTAAGGCATCAAGCAATATACTGAAAGAGGTGAGTCATGCACAAGTAATGTCCTTATTTCCATAATTGTACATTTGATACTCTCTGCCCTCTTAACAAGGAGGTGTAGTGAGCAAAGATGAGAAGCACACAACTTTGATACGTAACCATATCAATATAAGTGTTTAAGAAAGTCTTTAAATTTTGTTTTCCTTCTTTGAAAGGTATTTCGGTTTTATTTCAGAAAAACAAAACAAACTAGTTCTTCTACTGAGGATGAAATTTCTCTCCAGAGTTATTTATGAAATAATACAGCTGCCTTTCTCTTTAAAAGGATTCTTGTCTTCTGGAATTCCTTTCACCAAAGGATCCTCTCCAGAACGTTCTTCAATGTAGTTCTTGATTTCCTCAGAACATTTAGACACCTTAAAAGAAAAAAAAGAATGAATTAGGTCAGGATTGCCTACACTTCATTACCACCCTTTAGTGAAATTAATATAATTGAGCACAACTAGCATTTAAAAAAATAAAACAGTATAAAAGTAGTTGTACAAAGCATATATAATATATATGCTATATATGAATGACACAATCTATGTAAAATATATTTCTCAGTCCAGTGAGGGTCAAAAAGCTTGAAAGTCATTGTGTTAAATAGCTCATCCCAGCAATTTCTATCCATTGTGGCTCATGTGAATTCTCTCCTCTGATGAAATATAATTATGATCTATTCATAATATTTTACAAACCAAAATATACTGCATTTTCCATTTCCCATGCTAATGAACAGGTGCAGTAATAGAAAATCCCCAAATGTTTTGGGCTATGTCCTGCCAAAAGTCTCACTTATGGGTGTGTGCCATGTTCTGCAATTTTACAAAATGATAGAAACATTGGAGAAAGTCTGATGCTGGAGAGGCTGAGGTTGCCCAGTCATACCATTTGTGTCTCTATTCAGGATTCCTTCCCGTTGCTTGAGGGCAATGATCATAACAAAAGATTTATCTGAGGTTTATTGGGCTTATCTGAGATCCTTGTGTTTATGTAATTAGTTGAAACTTTTTCTGTAAAGGAGACAGGACTGAATAGTTTTTTCAAAAACTCTATCCTTCAGAGACAGATCACAAGAGTGAATTTAAAAAAGAAAAAGGATGAAAAAAGGAAGAAAATAAAAGGATTAGTGTGTTAATGAAGGCCTGCATTGTTAAGAAGAAATTAGAAATAAAAATTACAGAAGCTCCAGCAAATTCTAACAGAGATCTCTTAACCCTGGGAAACTGTCCCATTGAATTTGTAATCTAGATTAATAATCTTCAAATTGTCTTAATGGTGATCACAAAAACATCCTTGCATATATATATATATATATATATATTCCAAAATGTACATAATTATGTAATGATATCTAATTATTTACTTATCTTATAAATAAGTATAAATGCTACTGTGTTATACTTAATGTGTAATTATAAAACATAAACTGGAAACTGTCAGAAGAGATTTAAATCTAACCAAAAGCAGAAATTTTTAATATTTTACTCCCATACCCCACATACTTTTTGCACACAAAGTGAAGACCACTGTTCTAAAATTTAGAACTAGGGGTGCCTGGGTGGCTCAGTGGGTTAAAGCCTCTACTTTCGGCTCAGGTCATGATTCTGGGGTCCTGGGATGGAGCCCTGCATCAGGCTCTCTGCTCAGCGGGGAGCCTGCTTCCCCCCTCTCTCTCTCTGCCTGCCTCTCTGCCTGCTTGTGATCTCTGCCTGTCAAATAAATAAATAAAAAATCTTAAAAAAAAATAAAATTTAGAACTAGGTGATGGATGAACTAGTTAGATGATTTAAAGTGTGGTGAAAATAAAAATCTTTTCAAGTGCCATTCTCTTGGAAAACAACTGCTCTTATTTGTTGCTGACGTTCATAGTGCACACATTTTATGGGAATTGTCAGAAGTACAGATGCAAGTAACCACAACCTCGGGTCTGTCTCCCCACAGATATTTGTGGGTAAGATTAGAGTTCCCCCAAATTGTATCTGTTTCTATAGAGGCTTCTTCACTAGCTTTCCAAAGAGATCTGTAACCTCCAAAAGTGCATAATTACTCCTCTAAGCATTTCCTTCCATGATCAAGAAGGTGTGTTTGAGCAACAGTTAGTTGGAGCCAGAATTCAGCCTGTGGATTCTGTGCCCTTGGCCTGAGCAGAGCACACAGCTCAGACATGAACAATTTATTGACAGAATAATGAACTGGTTTATCAGAACACATGTGTTTTAGTACACGTCTGTATCATTACTTATGAGGTGTTAAATAAGGAGGTACTTAGCCTCCTTGGGATTCAAGTTTTTGATCCTTAAAAGGGAGAGCACTGAATGATCTAAGAGCCATAATGGTTGTAGAACACTAATACTCTATAAACCAAAGTGTGTGGTAACATATGTTTGAATATTATCATTAGGATTCAGATGCCTCTCCTTGTATCTGCTAAGGCTCTCTCTGAAGTTTTCTCTCCCATTAGCATATACTTGGAGTTGGAAACTGATTGAGTAGGGTGTGTCCTAAGGAGAGGAGGTGGGGAGCTAGCAGGGAGGAATGGCTCATGAATGACACCTTCAATTTCTACACAGTCAGGTGCATCCAGGTCCCTGCCCAATTTCTAATTTGAAGCTTAAAATACCTAGAAGACACTTGTCTCTTTCTTTCTCCTAGAAGTTCTGTGCACTCTGGTATTAGGATATTCCAACTTTGTACAAGGCTATGCTTCAGTATGTGCAACTCTGTTTGATATGTAACCTCTAAGATGCATTGTGTGAAAACTCAGTGGCCAACACAGACTGCACTTTGACATCCACAAAATGGGTTCCTTAAAGTTTCAAGAAACTACCCTATTCTTTGGGTACCATAGCTTTGCTTATTCCGTTAAACACAGCAGTATTTTTAAAGGTACAAAAACTTTCAACATGGATAGAAACAACCTTTGCACTCAAAAATCTAGGAAGAATAGGGATTTGGAAGTGAAGATTAAATTTCAGAAAAGAAATGTGTATAAAGTAAAACTCAAAAACACCCGCATCTTCCAAATATCACTCAAATGTTCATCTTGAGTATCAGGACTCTGTCATGAGTAGATTTACCATAATTAGAGCAGGAAAGTAAAGGAGCTTATATACTATAACTACTTAATTTCCATTGTTTTCCTTTTCTATTTAAAAAAAATTCTAGTATTAAACCATAGAGAAATGAAATCAGTTTACATTTTTCTTGCTATGGAGAAAGGAGTGGATCATTTCCTTAAAAAAACAAACAAACAACCATCCAAAAATCTATTCCTGGACTTTAGGTTGCCTGATTGAAGAAAAAAAGGAAGAAATGCATGCTCAAGCTAGCAGTAAGAAGTCAAAAGTACAAAATCTCCAGCACGTTTTGGTGGAGACTTCTGATGAGACCTATGTTCTCACTGAATTTGTAATCCACTTCAGTGGTCTCTCAAATTTTAAATCATGATCACTAAAAATAATTTTTGTATGTACCCAAATATATGTATAATTATTTATAAATAAATGCAGATACTACTATATTGGTTCATTGTGTATACCTATAAACCAAGTGGAAGGTATAAAGGGATGGGAGTTATGAACAAATAAAAACAGAAATTGTAATGTTTTGTTCCCAAGCCCCAGTGAGCTGTTCATTGCATACCTCTGGAGAGGCCTGGTGAAGTTCAAAATTATGTAATTCAAATTACCTAAATTAAATATGAATTAAATAGTGATTAAAAAGCACTAAAATGACATTCTTTCCCATAATGAAAAAGATCAAGGAACTAAATAGCCATCTGCCTTTTTCCTACATTTTGAGTTTTTAAAACCAAGTAACAGCAGGCAGAATTTTTTGTCCATTTGCCCAGTCCTAGGCTCAGATGTTCTGACATTTGGCTTTAAATTACTCAGCTAACCCTTGCTCTCCTTTACCTCTGAAGATTTCCCCACACCAACTGGCAGTTCCCAGGTACCAACAAGCCTACTTCAAGAGAAGCTGGGGGGAAAGGGGATAACAAAAACCAGAAAAGCAGTACTGTTTTACTGTAACCAGGAAAAACTGCCCTTGGATCATTTCAGAGAAGGAAATGCTCTGGGACAATTTACCTGTTGCCTCTGCAACTTTACTTCTTTGCGAAGTTGCTCAACTTCCATCTTCAGCTTTTCCTTTTCTGGCAAATCTTCGATGTGAAGGGCCGGCATTTTCGCCCCAGAACCGGGCCTGGGGATAGCTCTGGAAGCCGAGAGGCTGGAAATGCAGCAAACTAGGACGCGCCCCAAAATAACTGCGGTGCCAGCGCACCCCGCCCGCCGGCCGGCGCTGAACAGGACCGTCTTCCCACCGTGCTCCCCAGAGCCCCTAGAGCTCGGCTGCCTGCGGGGCGGCCCCCCACGCCGACCCTGCCCCGCGTCCTCGGCTCTTTCTCAGGCCCCCTCGACTGCGAGAGGCCTGCTCCAGCGAGCCCCGGAGGGTTGAGTGGAGAGGGAGCCTGAGAAGCTGGGCGGTGCGGGAGCTCCCGGCGGGATGCTGGCCCCCTGCCGGCTCCCAAGCCTGCCACGCCCGTGGGGGACTCGCCAGGGCTGTGGCCGGACAGTTGGGGTTGCACTAGCCGACTCTCCTGGAGAAACAACTAAAGTTTTACTTTTTGTTCCTTTTTTTTTTTTTTTTGCCCCGTTCCCAAGTCACATCCGGGTTTTGTTTGCGAAGCAAGAAAAGGAGGACACTAGCCTGCAGGAAATAACGGCCCTTCTCCTCTCCCAAGTTTCAAAAATATACAGCGTGTTACTTTTCCCCAGTTACATGCGTGTTGTGGGAAAAGGCCCAGGAGGAGAACGAATAATCTCAGAAACACCCACCACATCTGTTGATGTGTATCCATCCCGTCCGTTAAATGCCTGAAACACATTGGGGGGTCAAGGGGGCATCGGGAGGTGAATATTGTTTCCAATTTGCAGGGCCATTTTTGGACATTAATGAACTGTCTGCAACTTCCACAGCAGAGCTCTTACTCTTTCTTCAGGGGAATGTTTTGTAATGATTTGGAGGACACACGGATGATACTAGAGAAGACAGAAGACGGAATCTGAAAGTTCTTACCAGGAAGTGTTTCCCCAATCCCCATCAACCGCGGTTTGGGTGACTGTGGACACCAAGGGTTAGGAGTTCCTGGCTCCTGCAAACTTCCTGGAGGTCAGCAGCAGATTCACGCAGCTTGGGTTTCCCCACTCTCTGGAAAGCAGTATTCATCTTGCTGCCATTTTGTAAAGCCAGGAAAGGTGTGGGGCCTGACATGTTTACCTGCAATATAAAGTTTCTCTTTGACTATAAACTAAAACTTTTTGTTTGGTTTGTTAAAGAAGCTCAAGAGCCTAGAAGAAAACTAAAGCACGAACGTAAGAAACCTTCCCAAGCAGTTAGATATTTCTCTCTTTGGAGATGACCTCCTTGCCTAGAGAGTCAAATTCAAGTTAAGTGTGGTGGCCTGAATGGAGAATTTCAGGGTACCTGGGCTTAGACACTCCAAGCCACTCCCTATTTTATAAGCACAGGCTTTTGTTTGTTCCTAATTTCTCTCTAGGTTCTACCCACTTGTCCTCAATGAATACATTGGAGGGACAGGAACAATAAAGCTACTTGGAGAGAACTCTGGGTCTAGTCCCAGCTCTGCCACTGGCTATCACTGGAAAAGTCATTTATTTTTTTCTGGATTTTGGTTTTCTAATTTATAAAATAGATGATGGGCCAGGGGAACAGTGAATTAGCTAAGGTATGTTACATTTCTAATTGCATTTATGTATCTACATCTGATAAATCATGTTCATGAAGAAAACTGTTTGGGAGCTTTTCTGTATTTTAAATACCACACATTCCAGGATCTCCCAGGCTCAAAGAAGTTTTAAATAAGTTTCTAGAGGGCCCCCCCACCCACCGTTAGTATGCAAGGTGAGCCAAGACAAAAAACTCACATCTGTCTCCAAAAGCAATTAATGATTTTTGATTCCCCATTGCTCAGATTTAAAAGGTTGGTTAAAAATAAATAAGTTAGTGAAAGTAGTTAATGTGGCCCAAATTAAGTAAGTTCAGCACCAAATCAAATAACCTAGTTAAGTAACTTAATGCATGTCTTTTCCAAATCATAAAAATGGAATTATTTTGGCCTGGAAATTTCTTCTTTTCGAAATCACCTACTTGAAGACAGTGATAAATAATTATAAATCCATAGTGGTCATTTAACTTCTTCCCCATACTAGGAGAACTTAAATTGGAGAGCAAATGCATATTAGTCTTTTTATTTTTTTTAACTTTTTTTTTTTTTTAGTTTTTACTCTTACAGAATAATGCATGATACTAAAATCACATTAGGTGAACTGATTAAAGTGAATTGTGAAATGCTGAAATCCTATGATGACACAGCATTCTGAACAATGTCTTGTTATTGTTTGGTGTTAAATGGTAAAAGGATAGGAACACTTCTTTTTAGAAGAGCATGTAGCCCCCATCCCTAAGCATGGAATTTACCTCTCAGAGAGCAACCATGGTAAACAATTTCTTGTCTATTCTTACAGAAATGTTCTATCAACAAAACTTATCAGATAAACGAAGTTTAAAATCCAAGTGAGTTATAGCCAAATGTCATATTAGCTTTTTACTTATATTTTACATATTATTTTTAATAAAATTTGTTTTACAAAATAGTATGTGTGCAAACTACTCTGCAACGAAAGATAATAGGTATAATTAGAAACTTTTATTATCCCACTGTCTTTTGACAAGTGTTTTAAAGAAATCTGCTTAAGAAAATTAACTGTGTGGTTATTTCTACTTTTAAATTATAAAAGAGCAAAGACCATGAAATACCTACCGTGACCTGCAAAAAAAGGAAAAACAACTCTTTGGTTACTTTTCTGACGTATTAAGTGTGTTGTTAAAAAATCCATATAAAGGAAACTGTATAAGAAATAAATAATAATAAATAAATTCTGGAAAAAAAAATCACTCACTGTTGCAACTGTGTAGCCTGTGGGATAGTCATGACCTCACAACCTTCTTCCTAGACCATCTTTCTCTGTATTCCTTTCTATGAATTTTATCTTATTCCAACTCCTGTAGACAGTCTGTATTTTAAAGCAATGCAAATGTTACCCTACTGTTGATTCATTCCTTAGTTAAGCTAATAAGAATTCTGAATTCTCCAAAATAAAAACTACCATCCTTCCTGCTTTTAATTGAACACTTATTAAGTCAGTTAAATTGTAGAGACAATTTATGAGTTGTTACAGCAGTTTCAAAGATGAACAGAGCTTCTGGCTTAGGAAATTTATAACACAGATTTAAGAGTAACACAACCATACAGACTATAATAAAAGAAAGCAAGGGAATGTTAAGTGAGTTAAAAGATTTTGCAGAATACTCTTGGGCTGGAGTGAGGGACAGAGGAGATAGTTTATAGTGAGCCTCAGAGAAGGAGAAGGATTTCCAAAGGCTGAAATGAGTTAGAGTGGAGGGACATTTCAGGTGGAGAGATCAGTCTGACTGAACAGCAGAAAGTGGGGAAATGGGGTGTCATGTTGGGAATTATTTAATACTTCAGTTTGTTGACCACAGGAAGTCTCCAGGTCTATTGTAATAAAGGACATTGATTAGGTTTTATCTGTATCTGTTCTAAGTGACTTTAAATTTTCATATAAGAATCCATTCTAGGGGCGCCTGGGTGGCTCAGTGGGTTAAGCTGCTGCCTTCGGCTCGGGTCATCATCTCAGGGTCCTGGGATCGAGCCCCGCATCGGGCTCTCTGCTCAGCAGGGAGCCTGCTTCCCTCTCTCTCTCTGTCTCTGCCTGCCTCTCTGTCTACTTGTGATCTCTCTCTGTCAAATAAATGAATAAAATCTTAAAAAAAAAAAGAATCCATTCTAGTTTCTCATTTTATTTTGAAAACAAACAAACAAACAAAAACAAAACAAAAAAAAAGTGATGTTCAAAGAGTTGAAGTAGAAATTGAACAAGCCAAGGTTTTCACTTAGAATCACCTGCCTTCCAAATCCGTTTCCAGTGTTAGATAAAACTAGAGATGTGGATAGGACCATACATGTTACTAAATGCCATAGCCAAGATTCTGTTATACTTTTTTTAGTCCGGGGGAAAAAAGATAAATGGAACATATAATAAGCACTAAATTGCACACAGAAATACCTTTGAGACAGACCACAATTAAACAAATAATGAAGTAAGGTGTATGGGATGCTAGATGGTGACGGGTGCCATGGGAGACAAGAGAGCAGAACAGAGAGATAGGAAGGGCTGAGGGGCTGAGGCCGGAGAGGAGTTTTGCAGTTTTAAATGGAAACTAGTGTCTCCTGAGGAAAAAGATAAACTCCAATAGTTTATCCTGGAATCTCTTAATACTCAAAGCATATTTGATATGTGGTAGAGTGTGGTATTAACCATTCAGCTAGAGATCTAGAGTCTGGACCCAAGAAACTTGCCAACTCACTTCCTTCTGAGTCTGGATTTCCTCCATTTCAAAATGAAGGGGTTGGACGAGCGTGCAACCTTGATCCTTGTTGAGCATTTACTACAGCCAGAGTGGAAAGGACAGTGCTAGGAGCTAAACTTGGGACCACCTTGAGATTCCCTTCCAGACCAAATAATAGATTAATTTTTGTTTTTAAAAAGGATGACAATCAATTAGCATTCCATTGTATTCTGATCACTGACATATCCAAAAATAGCACTGTAAATGTGAGATAGCAACAAGGAAACACAACGAAAACAGTTTCCAAGTTGCAGTAATCAGCACTCATCATTTGTTACAGATGAGAAGCAAATTATCTCTCAGTCTTTAGCACAAAGGTAGTGAAATTTGGCTTATGTCAACTTGGTGAGATGCCAGGAGGAAACTGATTAGCAAGATGATGCAGAAGACAGCTATTTTTCTATCATTTTGTTCTTAAGACTGTTATAGAAAAAAGGGCTGTACTGGTGAGAGTCTTCTTAGGGATGGGATGGAATGGAATGGAATGCATGGCTCTCAAAGGGTTCTGGATATTTGTCTAGTTTCTTTCTCAGCAATACGACTAGATAATACTTACCGGATGTTGCTACTATGTGCCAGGCAGTATGCTGAGTGCCCTAATCCCCCGAATGTAATATGTAACTCCCCATGAAAAAGGGGATAGGACCATATTATTCCTATTCTACAGGAGAAGAAACTGAGATTTAGAAAGAGTAAGTAATTTATCCAAAGTCAGGCAGTAAAATGCCAGAGCCAGAACTCTCTGTCTTCTTATAACCTTTACTCTGGTGCTGGTTAAATCTGCTGTCTCCATGACCACAGACTGCCTTTTAATCCATTTGGTATTGTGGTAAAAAAGTTACATCATTGGTAAACAAGTAAAAATGGTAAGAATGTAGGAAGAGGTTATGTTAAAACCATCACTGCTGACTGGGAGTTGAGAGAGCAAGAGAAACAGAAAATGAAACATCCACAGTGAAAATCTTCAGAGCACACATTCTGTCAAGATAGATCTTCCATGAATCAAAAGAATAGAGTTCCTAATTCTACAAAGGAAGAGAAAGGTTGGAAAAAATCTAAGGCTAACCATAAAATTTCCTCCTGCTAGAATATTAGTAGTGTTGAAAGAGAAGTTAAGAAACAGAAAACTATATGTTGGCAACCAGAATAATATAGACTCATTCATGAAACATGGTATTTTTTTGTTTGTTTGTTTTTTGCTTGTTTGGGTTTTTTGTTTTTGTTTGTTTTTGAGAGAGTGAGAGAGAGAGAGTGTGAATGGGAAGAGGGAGAAGGAAAGAGAGAATCCCAAGCAGGTTTTGTGCCCACAATGGGGCCCAATGTGGGGCTCAAGCTCACGACCCTGAGAGCACGACCCAGAGCCAAAATCAAAAGTCAGACACTTAACTGACTGAGCCAACCAGCTGTCTCCATAGCAGTCATTGTTAAAGAAAGGGGTCAATCAATAGTTATTGCCAGTTATGTGCTAAACCTTGTGTTAAATACTTTAAGAAAAACAGATTTATGCATTATCACATCCCAGTTTTTATTAAAAGTTTGTACTTATAAATCAAAAAGTTACATACATGCTTAACAGTATTATTATAGATGACCAAAAATTAGTACTGTCATTAAAGCTCAAGTTATTCCATGGAATTTTTTTTTCTTATGAAATCACACAGCCTCCTTTGAGTTCCTTGAAGGGATTTTTGTCCTCTGGGATACCCTTTACTAGTGGATCTTCCCCAGATCTTTCTTCAACATAATCCCTTACTTCTTCACAACATTTGGAGACCTTAAAGGGAAGGAGAAAGAAATGACACATTTGGTTTAATACAGAATGCTGCAGAATCCAAGCATGTATTATAATTTCTGTGTTCTTTTTGATGTGTTCTGCTTTCCACCAGTGCATATGTATTTTCTAGGAGAGAAGAAAAAAAAAAATAGCTGCTCTTTTTTCCTATCCTCCTGGATATCTTCAGGTAAAGGAGAACCATTTAGCCATAATTCAGCTAAGGGTTCTCAGGAGACACTGCCTCCAGCCTCTCTAAGGGAGATCAGAACAGGGATCAGAAAACAGCTGGCCACAGAGGTCACCAGGGTCACATCGATTAAATCTGTTTCCTCATTCCAGAAATGTGACCTGTAAAGGTGGAAGGGAATGAATAATTTTTAAATTCTAGGCTTATCGCCACTCCTGAATTCTCAGAAGTATACACATATAATTTTATTTTAAACTCATTTACAATGATTGATCATGAGCTCCAAACAGTCAAGGACCTTTGGCTGACTTGTTCACATGTATCACTGGCATCCAGAACAGAGACTGGGTTTAGGTGGTGCTCAGTAAACACGTATTTGTTGAACTAAATCATTATTCTTGTTTATGAGCTTGCTCTTCACTCATCTACCATTATAGTAATGGCTTCATGAAAAATCAGGCTTTAGTAACTTAATGGACTCAGCCAGAGCTTAAATGGTCCATGTGCCACTTAACACACCTTTTAGAAAGAGTCAATGTTCTATAACACATAGAAATATAAATGTGTGCATCTGTGTATACACATACACATGCGTATCGTCACAAGCTCAAAATATTTCTTTTAATGTTCAACTTATTTCCTTTTCACTTATTCTACTGTTCATGACATTAACATGAAACTACTTCATTTCTGGCAGTCCATTAGGTGGCCATTCCATAACTTCTCTAACTAATTCACTGTTTTTTTAAATAAAATATTTGTATCATTTTTGTATGCAAATTTCCAGCAACATTAAACATAAGACTTAAAATTACTTTGTAACTCTGCAAGTTCATTATCTACATATTAGGAAACATCATTTCTAACCAGGGCAAGGCCTTGGTCAGATGTCCCCTTCATATGAGGATACTCGTAGTTTATACACAATTCTGAAATATGCAGTAATTTAGATTCACATTTTTTTCCTTTCAAAATTCAAAATTAAGATTTAGGTTCACTTTTTCCCCCATTCCTCCAAACACCAGCTATTTTGGCCCTGACCAGGTGTCAGGAATAGAGGTATTGTAATTCTAGAGTCAGCAAAGGGTTGGTTTTGACAAGGTCTAAGGAGGATCCAAGGCTATAAGGAGCAATACATTACCTAAAAATCCTATGTGAGTGTATGTGCTCAAAAATCACTTCAGTGAGGCTTATTTTAAGTATATATAGTTTAATATAGGATTACATGGCATGGTGGAAAGCATGGACACTGGATTCAGGCCACCCCAGTTTCGAGTTTTGGGTCTGCCCACTTACCTGCTGTATATCATTAGTTAGGAGAGTTCATATAAGGTTTAGTTACTTTATCTATGAAAAAGGAAGAGCGACACTGGCTGCATTAAGTGCCTAGCATACAATGAATGCTCGGTCAAATGGTGGCTATTTTTGGCTATTACTACAAAGGCTATCTTTAGTCTTTGCCTATTGCATTGACATACAGTCATTGCAAATCTGTCAGCTTTAAAAACTGGGTGCAAAGAGTTGTGTCTTCTGACAATACTAGCACCTTGATAGCAGAATAGTATGAACTATTTTGGTTCACAGACATCAAATAATTATTTAAAAAGTAATAAAAAACAGTAGAAAACATTTGGTATGTCCTAGGTATTGTTCTCAGAGATTTATATACATTATCGCATTTATGCTTCCCAGCTGCCCTCTGAATTAGATGTTGTTACTATTCCCATTTTATAGACAATATTTCAGGTTAGTGTTCCACAGGGAGAAAGTTGTGTAGCCAGAATCTGAACCAGGGATGGGTTTCCAGCGTCTATCCCCTGGACCGTTCTAGAAGGATGTTATGCCAGCCTGTGTCAAAACTATAGGTTCGGTATCTAAAATTTGTGTGTGTGTGTGTTTAGTTTTGGCAGTCTGGTATTATATTAGTTTGACTTCCAAAAGCAAGGAGATTTTGAGCAGCAGGGAAAAGGAACCCCCAAACCTGTAGATGTTGATGTATATGATGTTCACCCAAAATAAAAAATCCCAGATAAGCCGGCCACAAATGAATAATAAACATGAATATGATCCAACTGCCTTTCAAACAACAATTCTAAGGAAATAAATAATGAAAACAGCATTTGGATGTTTCAAGTCAAGAAGAAAAAATAACTTTCCTTTATTTTCCCCCAAATATAAAGATTTTAACTGTTCTGTTGTATGTTCCAAGCTTTTTGTGCTGTGTATATATTTAATTTTATTTTTACAGCAAAATATGTTTTGCCTGTATGGAAAGGGCAAAAGAGAAGTTTGAGACAATTATAAATGTCAAAGAAGCCAAAATTCCAATTTTTATTGGGAATAAGGGTTCTTGAGCAAAGTATGAAGATAATACTAACTCCTTTTCTGCTTTGGCTTGATAAAATGTGTTTTGGAAAAAATATAAAATATACTCTTATCACTCATAGAGGAGTTTTATTCTACTTACTTTCCAAAAATGAAGAAATCTAAAATACATATCTACATTTTCCAAGCTCCAGTCACTGTTTGTTTGGAGGAAACTTTTATCCCTTTGCCACGCCTCTCCTTTTAATGGCAGAGAACTCTTGGTAACAATTTCCAAGATCTGTCAGATGTTTTTAGGGGGAATGAGTAAATTCTTGTGCTTGAACTCATTTTTATTTGCAAAGAAGGAATAGCGTGTACTCAATCATTACTAGCCATGACAGTGCTGGAGGAAATGAGGTCTTGGCTAAAAGTATTTAAACATCAAAGTATTACATTAAATAAAAAGAAACTTACCAATTTAGAAAAGGAAAAATAAAATGCCTATGTATGCATTGCTTCATTTTACTGCTTAACTAAAATATGGTCTCTGTCTCATAGTCTTTGTTTCCTTTTTCTTTCCCTTTCTTTCCTTCTTTTTTAAAACAATTCTATGAAAATGGAAAAACATTTTTAGTTTCGTGGCCATACAAAAACAGTCTAAGGATTTGGCCCATGGAAAATAGTTTGCAAAACCTTCCATATAAAGTCTGAATCAAGAGATAATTATGATTATTAATTTTCTTATTCTCTAATGCATTTTTACCTGAACAATTCATTTTTAGCTACATTGAGACTCTCTAGCGAATGGTGTGGGGGAGGACAAATCATTTTCCCTCTACTCTTTTAGGTTCTTAATTGAGACACTCCTGTTAATGAAAAAGGCAGATTAACAAGAGAAAAACACACAGAAATTTAATAGCATGTATACCTCCTTTGTACATGGGAGAGATCCAGGAAAACCAAAATGGCCCAGGACACCCCCTTAAATACCATCTCCAGCTGAAGACAAAAGATGTTGGGGTTTGGGGGCAGAAAGGCTAGTTATGGGAGGTTTTCAGGAAAAGCAGTAATCAAAAGCCCACTTAATTCAAGTGCATTTAAGTCCTTGCCTTCTCTCCTAATAACAGTTTTAGAGTCATCCTTCTCTTCCTGGTACAGAGAGGGAGACTTTATAAATGGGGACTTTTCTTATAACTGTAAATGTCTCTTACAAAAGGACAACTTCTACTTGGTTTTCAGATACTATCCTATCTGCTGTTTCTTAAAAATAACCAGCTAAAACAATACTTACGTTAAGGAGGTATATTTTGTTTGGAGTGGCAAATTCTGCTCCCCTGTGACAGGTCCTCACCTGGCAGTCCTACCATATCTATAGTTTAAAATAAAATTCAAAAGGGAGCAACGGTTTACCAGCATTCTTTCCAGGGTCACTTCTTTCTTGAGCTGGTCAACTTCCATCTTTAATTTGTCCTTTTCTGTCAAGTCTTCAATATTGATCACCGGCATCTTTTGCCTGCTGAAAAAAGAGATAGTTCATACATACACCAAATTTCTGGACATGGTTCAGATCAATATTAGCCAGTCCTTCCCTCTGCTCTTAACTTACTAAGGGAACTGTTTCTTTGTTGCAGCTTTCTACGATAACTGATTTCTTATGAATGCTCTCTGAACAATTCCAGCACTGCACACTAGCCTTGCAATTTTAAAGCTTCTTTATAATCTTCACTAATATGATTAAACCAAGCATTTGACTCTAACCACCTGCTAGTAGGTTTGTGGGGATGTGGGAGAGGTCAATTTAGTCAGCATACAGTCTTAAACATCCAAAGCTCCTCCTTTTCTCTGTTTTGTTTTATTGTTATTTTTTTGTATAGTGTAAATATTTGGATTTCCAACACTCAATCTCCAACACCAAAACGCTCCATCATATGATATACACCATTTAAATGAGCTTGAGGTCATTCTGAGGACTGGATTAATCCTCTGAAACGCTAGAGTAATCTGGTATTAACAGAGAACTATACACAAACTGTTACTATAAGTTCTTTACAAATAACAGGTTGTAATATGAAACAATAGAGTGGAGATATAGCAAACAACCTCATTAACCAGAAATAAACGAGCATGTTACTTAGAATGTGTCTCTAAACAATACCAGGAAGTTCTGTGTAACTGTCACAATGCACTGGAAAGCAATCATGACCAAATGTATCAGGTTAAAGGTGACATAGTGGGCATACTGTTGGACATCATAAAAGAAGGATCTTCTGCACTCTCAGCAATCTCTTCTCCTTAATTAGATCAATGGGCAATGGGGGAAAATGGTGCAGTAGCTGGTGGTACCTATATGCAATCGTCTGGAAAGTATTTCATTGTAGTCAAGTGGCATCACACTTAAAACCTCTCCTTTTTTGGTATTCTCTTTTTCTACTTTGTCTCCCTGGCCCAGTTTTTATAACGAGATATTTTTATGAAAGTGACATATTTAGGTCACATGTTATTTCAGCAAACAAAACATTGCATATTTATATACAAATACTCTGCTAATAATTTATCAGCAATTAACTTATTTCCTTATAGTGATATAGTGTTATCATTTCCAAAACCTTTGAGGAAATATTATTTCCCTTCTCGATCTTATAATGGACTCTTCTTCTTTGGGAAACAGACATTTTCACATATTTTTAGGGGCAAATGCCTAAATATGCCAGCACAGATATAGAAAAGAACACTCTATGAGGACCCAAAGTCAATGTTTCCCTTACCTTTTTATTTTTGCTTCTCTGTTCTTAATTTAGCAAACAATATGACACGAAAAAATTGTTCCTCCAACCTGTGTAATTGTGTAATTGTTGTTTGGTATTCGAGAGCAGTATTCGAGAGAGGTATTCATTCTCCCCTTCCTTCTTACTGCGTTCAGACTATCTGTAACCATTCACGAGCAAATCTACGTCTGCTGATCATTTTTTGTGGTTGAGATTATCCTTTGCACATTTCTTCTCCATCTTGAAAAACTAATTCCACTGGCAATGACTCTCACACTTCAATGTATATAAGAATCGCTTTAGAAACTTGTTAAAATATGAGCCCAATTGAAGAAGTTTTGATTTGGAATAGGGCTTATAATTTAATTTTCTCTGTTTTAGAGAATCCCTACCATGTTATTGACAATGAAATGATCACTCTTTGGCTCTTGCTAGGGGTGTGGCCCTGATCAAGTTACTTAAATTCTCTGTGCCTCAGTTCACTAGGAAATTGGAGCAATACGATTATGTAGGTTGCAGATTTCTTGGGAGGAATCAAGATTGCATAATGGTATGTGGCACAGAATATGTGCTCAGTACATGTTAGCTGGGTTACCCACTTATTCTGCACCTCTAGACTTTCAAACTCTGATATCTTACATGGCACTCGCTGATAGGTGGCTTTATAAGTGCTTTTAAGGGATATCATGTGGACATGATTTGGGTCCCTTAATATCATAGGTAGCAGACGCTGTGGGTGCCCTTCCTAGATTTCCCTTTCCAGAGTGGGGTGTTCATTTTCCCAGAGGTGCACATGTTGACTGCCAAGGGCAAGCCTTCTGCATAGGTTTGTTCTTGGCTGATGGGAACCACTTCGACTGGTGATGTCTGGGAGATTATGGTTTCAATTGGCCCCTGTGAGTGACCTGTAGTGTAGGGCTGGCTGAAGAGAGGTTCTAACAGTTCAGACCAGGTACCTCTGGGCTGAAAAATCCTGTAATTGAGAACCTTCCAGAGCTCCCCATGGAGTCAGGATATGCTAGACATCTGAGACTACACCTTTGCTTAACTTCTGCTTCATCTTGCTTTCTACCTTCCTTCAGAGATTTCTTGTGAGAGCTCATCCTTGGTAAATCACTTGGACAAGGATCCCTATCTTAGGCACTGATTCTGACAAATCTAAGACACAATAGGTTATAAGAACTTTTATAAGAGCATCTAAGTCTTTCACAACTTTTATGTCCTTACTCCTGCCCATTGTTCAATATATAAAAGAGAATCATGGAGTGTAGATAAAGTCACTAGCAAACTATGTCATAAATATTCACCTAGCCATAGAAAAAAGTGCAAAGTATCTAACATCAATTTACTAACAAATGATCTCCGAACTCTAAAATTCAATAATACTTTAAGCAAAACACATTTCATTTGGTGGAGGTGAATCTTAGAAGATGAGGGAATGCTTGCCCAACTTGATGCCATGGGACTTACATGAGAAAATTCAAAGAGTGAGGATCAAAACTCTAACTTCCTTCAAAGACAGCCAGACAAAGAAAGGGCAGTGTATATTGTCTGCATGGAGTCCCAAGGCTCAGAGTTACATTGAAGGGTTTAAATGAATTCAGATATGGCATCATCCAATCATCCTTAAACCCATTTTACAGATGAAGTAAAAGTGGTCCAGACAGTTGAAGTGACCCAAATCATAAAAGGGGTGGCAACAGAGGTGGGCTATAACACAGGTGCTTGGTTTTTGGTCTGGGATGTTTTCAAATCCAGCACACTTCTGTTACCCTTCCCAAATCAGTGTAAAAGCATAGATTTGTTGTGTCACACTTTAGAATTACACAGGAAGAAAGCACAGAATTGAAAACAAGGGGCACTAAGCCTCCCTGTCCTATTCCCCCGCCCCAATTTCTGGGCAGCTCAAAGCTTCCAACTGAGCCAACCTCTACATGGGAATTCTAAGAGGGGCTACATCATATTACTGGCACTATTACCAAGCATCCTTACCCCCCTTCCACCAGAATATAAAAGAGGAGGACTGAAGACTCTGACCAACAAGCTAAGGCAGCAATTATAGCTAATTCTCGGCGGGGGGGTGGGGTGGGTGGGGGTGTTACCTACCCCTTTAAGTAGAAGATATTTGCCCTTTTACTTTTTCCATCTTGCCTACTATCAGGGGAGGTAAGGTCCAACAAAGTAAAGAGATGAGAAGGGGGAAAAAGTACCTTAGAGCTGTACCCCATTCACAGAGCAGGGGTTCTCTGTGGGAGGCAATACTGCCCCCTCCAGGGCTTTTTGAAAATATGTCAGGTTGTTTATGGTTTTCAGGGGTTTTGTGGGTGTGAGTATGGGATGTAGAGAAGATAGAACGATTTAGAGTAGCTTAAGTGTTTCACTAATATCGTCCATAGCTTTCTTGTTAATCTATTCAAGAATTAAAGTAAGCTAGTATAAAGTTCAAAAGCTACCTGCTTTCTATTTGTTTTTACACATTATATAGATAAGCATATTTTGACATAAGGCAACTTGACAAAATATTGAACTTACAAAATCTGTATTAGTGGAAATTATTAAAATTATTTTTAGAAGTCCCCTGTTTTATACAGGAGATAAATCACACATTCTTTGAAATAGAAATGTTGCTAACACACTTAAAATATTTTGATTTATAAACATTCCATTTGACACATTTTTTTTCAGAAACAAATTCACTATATTATGTACAATAAATTCGCAATCATAGGGCTATAAATTTTCTTATCTTGTACTATTCTTTTCCATCCTGACATTATACTTAGGACTATAAAAATAGCTAATATTTTATTCATTCATCCAACAAATATTTACTAAGGACTATTATGTGCTAGACTCTATTCTAGATGCTTGAGGGTGGAGCAGAGAAAAATACAGAAAATGTTACCCATGAGGAACATATATTCTAATGAAGGGGAAAGGCAATAAACAAGATAAAATGTAACATATATTTATTGTGATAAGTACTAGGGGAGGTATAATAAGTAATTTGTTTATTCCATAGACACTTATAAGATTCTACTTTCCATAAGTCTAGCTCTCAGCACTGGGAAACAATGGCGACTACAACAGGAAAGTTTCCTGATGTCACAGAGCTTACGTAATAGTCAGAGGATCAGACAAGAAAAACAAAATGAATAAACATAGTGATTTAAACTGATAAATGCTATAGTTTATGATAAGGAGTGACTAGGATGTGAAGCAACATCATCTAGACTGATTAGAAGTAGCCAGTGGGACCAAGACTGTCCAGAAGGAGATAGTAAAGGTCAGGAGACAAGCATTTCATGCAAGGAGGAGGACTAAGCAGAGGGAACAGCTCATGCAATGGGCAGGAAGTGGGAACAAATTTGTTGTACAAGGAGAACAGAAAACCCAGTGTAACAAGTAAAGTAAGATAGAGGGAGAGTGATGGGGTGAGGTCAGGAACGGAGACAGCAGCCAAGTCACATAGAGTGACTCAGAGGAGTGGTAAGGAATAAAGTGAGGAGCTAATGAAGGGTTCAGATTCTACTTTGAAAAAAGTGAGGTGTGTGGGGTTGAAGGCTAACTACAGCGGAAACTGGGATTTTATGGAAGAACATAACCTAAGCGTCCCTTAAGAACAGGTACATTTGAACAATATTGGTGGCCACGGATATAGGGAAATATGGGCAGATTAAACATGTGATTTTCAGGTAGAATTGACAGGACTATTGATGAATTAGGTGATGAAGAAATGGGAGATGTCAAGAGTGATTCCACAGTTTTGGGCTTGAAAGTCTAAGTAGAAGTGTCACTGACAGAAAGAAGGAAGATTGGGGCATATGGTCAAGATTTCAGTTTAAGACATATAATATTTGAGATGTCTATTAGATATCCAGGTAGAGATATTTAGAAGATGTAAGCATTTGGAATTCAGAGGTGAGGTCAAGACTATACACAAGTGTGTGTGTGTGTGTGTGTGTGTGTGTGTGTGTACACACTTAAAATCACATAAGAAGAAAGTTCAGTTAGAAAGGAGTCCTCAAGGTTGATCTTTGAGTCATTCCACTTTTAATGGGCAGGTAGAGGAGAAGGACAGATTGAGAA